TCCTCCTCCTGCATAGCCCAGAACAGCTCCACCTCCACCAGGTCCTGGTTCTCTCTTGGGTCCTGATGGTCTTCCTCAAGTCTGTAGAGGTCACTCATATGATGGCCAGGCATGATGACTCGTGCTGGGACAGGGACTGAGTGTTGGCAGAAGGTGGGCAATGGGGACCCACAGGCCTGGGGGAGAGAGTTGAGTGTGAGAGGCCTCAGCTGAGAAATGCACCCTAGGTGGCCCTGACAAAGGCAACTTACAGCCTTTTGCTGGCCTGAGGCTGAACTCTCAGAACAAGACCACACATCCCTGACACTGAAGAGAGGAAAGTGAGGGGGCCCTACATCTGGCCACACCTGCCCAGAGCATCCCAGGAGATCAAGAAGGGGTGACCAAAAAGTTTTGGGTCCATCTATCCTGGGTTAAGGTTCCGATCATTTTTCACCATGACCCCCTGCAGGGTTTCAGATAACTGTCTCTGCTGACTGAGTTCACTCTACTTAGACTTAGGCTTCACCTCCCTTAGATATGGGAAAAGAAAGTGAGCTGAGCAGCATTCTGAGTTTCCCCATGGCTGACAGAAGAGGCAGGGTAGGTCTGGGTTCCCATGTGCTCTGGTACCTCTCAGTCCTCACCTTGATTCCTGGCAAGCCCTGGAATCCTGCCCCGGCTGACCTGAATCAAGATCTTCAGACCAAGGTCATCCCCTTACTGAGAACATTGATCTGGAAATGAGGGGCTTAGGCTGACAGCCCTGCCCGGGGATTCCAAGGCTAACACTCAGAGGAAGGCAGATTTCTTTTGGGCCCCCTCTTTGTTTTCAAGATTGGGACACCCTCATTCCTCCCTCAGGGTCCTCACCTTGATTCTTGGCAGGATCTGGGACTCCTCTCTGTTGACCAAACGTGGATCCTGGCGATGGCCCAATGTCGTCCTCTCAGACCAAGGTCCTCACCTTCCTGAAAGCTCTGAGATAAAAGTGAACAGGAACCCCATCTGCCCAGGTTCCCCCACGACTCATAGCAGGGCCTGGGCCCATCTGTTCCAGGTACAGAATCTCCTTAGTCTGTCCTCAAGATACTTACCCTTCTCCCTGGCTAGACTGGGACCAAAATCCAGCCGACCCAATTTCACCCTGAATAAATGTCCTCAATGAGAAGTGCTCACAAAATGCAAGCACGTGCAAAGGGAGAGCATGTCACACCCAGGCACCCCTGCCCGGGATTCCAGATGGTGACAGGGGACTCCCTGATGCTGAGGGCTGTATTCTTTTCTCAGGGAGCACATAGCTGCAATTCTCCACAAGGAAGGATTCAGACCCTTAAGACCCTTGCAAACCTCGGCTCCTCTTTTCATGAACTGAAGCCATCCTTTCTGACCAAGACCCTCTCTTTCCTGAGTGCCCTGAGACAAAAGTGAAGAGGAACCACCTCTGCAGACCCATGCCAGGGGTTTTCCAGGGCTGACAGCAGCATGAAGTGGATTTCAGCCCCCCCCCCCTTTGTCTGGAGGGTGGTATCCTCCATCCTCCCCAAGGCATCGATGTTGACTCCTGGAGTGCCTGGGACCTTTTCCTTCTGCTGAACTGAGAATGCATATTGCAGACCAAGTCCACTATCTTCCTGAGACCTCCAAGGTGGATGTCAAGACACACCATATTGGCTATCATGCCTGAGCGACCCAGGTGTGTCAGCAGGGCCTAAGCCAGCTGGTCCCAGTTTTTGCTGGGGTGGGAGGTACCCTCATCCTGTCTTAAGACCCACACTTTGATTACCAGCAGAGCCTTGGACACCTCCCCTTACTGCCCTGAATCCAGCACCTTCAGGACAATGCCCTCACCTCCCTTTGCCACTCCTCATGAAGAAGTCTGAAAGCAACCAAAATAGACAGCCCTACCATGAGGCTTCCCAGTGCTGATGGCAGGAACAGGGGACATTGGGGACACTATGACACTGGCAGAACCTTGGGGATACTTCAAGGTGTGCTAGAGGGCCCCTTGAGTCCTAACTTGGATCCTTACCTCATGTTCTGGCAGAGCCTGGGCCCCCTTCCTCTGCCTAC